CTGATGAGGCAGGGTTACAACTAATTATTTGAACACGTGGGGTGACTTAAATGTGGACTACCTGCGTTCATACAATTTCGAAGTGCATAATGTGCTTCTTAAAGCATTTAAAATTTCTCTTTCTTTACTTTCTTTTTTTTGAAACAGTCTTGCTCTGTTGCCCAGACTACAGTGCAGTGGTACAATCACAGCTCACTGCAGTCATGATCTCCTGGGCTCAGATGATCCTCTGCCCTCGGCCTCCCAAGTAGCTCAGACTACAGGCACATGCCACCACACCCTGCTATATATATATATTTTTTTTTTTTTTTTTTAAGATGGAGTCTTACTCTTTTGCCCAGGCTGGAGTGCAGTGGTTTCATCTCAGCCCACTGCCATCTCCGCCTCCTGGACTCAACCGATTCTCCTGCCTCAGCCTCCTGAGTAGCTGGCATTACAGGTGTGCACCTCTACGCCTGGCTAATTTTTGTATTTTTAGTAGAGATGGGGGTTTCACCATTTTGGTCAGGCTGGTCTCAAACTCCTGACCTCAAGTGATCTGCCCACCTCGGCCTCCCAAAGTGCTGGGATTACAGTTGTGAGCCATCACGCCCAGCTGCTAATTTATATATTTTTTTGTAGAGACCGGTTTCACCATGTTGCTCACGCTGGTCTCAAACTCCTGGACTCAAGCAATCTGCCCACCTTGACCTACCAAAGTGCTGGGATTATAGGCATGAACCAATGTGCCCAGCTGCATTTACATTTTCAGTGTAAGGTTTCCTTCAAGTACATTTAAAACTTTTGATTGGAGAAAACTCATTGATTTGGTCTTTAATGTCTCTTAACCTGATACATCCATTACCTCCACTTCACACAGGGAAAATCCAGTCGCTATTAGGAGCAGGGGTTTGGTTTTCTTGTCTGGCGCAGCTCTATGGCACTTGGTAGAGCTTGCAGTGAGTAGATGGAGTGAAAAATACCTTGCTGGTGTTAATAAAAGCTAACTTTCTTGCCTTCTAGTGAGGACATCTTAAAGTCTTCCATTAAAGAGTAATTCCTTTGGGTTTTGCCTTGCCCTTGCCTGGTTCTTGCTTTTAAAATGTTAATGCTCTGCAGGAAAATTTTTGCATTAAGTCATTAACTCCTTAGCTGGGGACTTTATTTTATCCTTGACTTCAGCATCTGAGCTAGGCAAAAAATGGAGGATTCTGAAGTAGAGACTTGGCACTGAAAATGGGAAAATGACTGTCTCTTCATTTTTCCTGGCTGCTGGCTATGCCTGCTTCAGGTGCTTGTTAAACTCTTATTGAATGAATGAATGAGTGAATGAACGAATGCTTGCAAAGCTGCCTGGCTATGGATTTAAGCATCACAGGGATGGAGTTTAGGGGCATAGCAGCTGACCTCCTGAAGCCTGGAAGTCCCAGGGCAGAGAGGAAGTGCTGGGTGGGTGGGGTGCTTGGTCATGACTTGTTCACAAGTCCCTTCGTCCTCCACCCTAGCTGCCAGAGCTCAGGGAATAGCTGAACCCAGGTTATGGTTGGTGGAAGGGAGGGAACTGAAAATTCCATGACAGTTTTTTCCTTTGCCATGGCTAAGAAAAGGGTTGACAAATGGGCTTCATCTCATTTGCCTCTCTAGCCAGTTGAAATGCCTCTTAGGACTTCTGTGTTAAGAAGGATTCTGAGGTCCAGAGAGCCTCATGGTCAGCTAGCACTGTCTCGCTGGGTTTGGGATGGGGGAAGCAGCACCATGTTATTGGAGTCTGACCTCGGAGGACTAATTTTGACCCTTTTCCTTCCTTCCTTTGTCCCTTTCTTCTCTAGGGACCCGACCGGAGCCTGGCCTGGGAGCCAGGATGGCCATCCACAAAGCCTTGGTGATGTGCCTGGGACTGCCTCTCTTCCTGTTCCCAGAGGCCCGGGCCCAGGCCCAGGGCCATGCTCCACCGGGCTGCAGCCCAGACCTCAACCCCCTCTATTACAACCTGTGTGACCGCTCTGGGGCATGGGGCATTGTCCTGGAGGCGGTGGCTGGGGCAGGCGTCGTCACCACGTTTGTGCTCACCATCATCCTGGTGGCCAGCCTCCCCTTTGTGCAGGATGCCAAGAAGCGGAGCCTGCTGGGGACCCAGGTGTTCTTCCTGCTGGGGACCCTGGGCCTCTTCTGCCTCGTGTTTGCCTGCGTGGTGAAGCCCGACTTCTCCACCTGTGCCTCTCGGCGCTTCCTGTTTGGGGTCCTGTTCGCCATCTGCTTCTCCTGTCTGGTGGCCCACGTCTTTGCCCTCAACTCCCTGGCCCGGAAGAACCATGGGCCCCGGGGCTGGGTGATCTTCACCGTGGCTCTGCTGCTGACCCTGGTGGAGGTCATCATCAACACGGAGTGGCTGATCATCACCCTGGTTCGCGGCAGTGGCGAGGGCGGCCCTCAGGGCAACAGCAGTGCCGACTGGGCCGTGGCCTCCCCCTGTGCCATCGCCAACATGGACTTTGTCATGGCGCTCATCTATGTCATGCTGCTGCTGCTGGCTGCCTTCCTGGGGGCCTGGCCTGCTCTGTGCGGCCGCTTCAAGCGCTGGCGTAAGCACGGAGTCTTCGTGCTGCTCACCACGGCCACCTCCATGGCCATCTGGGTGGTGTGGATTGTCATGTATACCTACGGCAACAGGCAGCGCAACAGTCCCACCTGGGATGACCCCACGCTGGCCATCGCCCTCGCCGCCAACGCCTGGGCCTTTGTCCTCTTCTATGTCATCCCCGAGGTCTCCCAGGTGACCAAGGCCAGCCCAGAGCAAAGCTACCAGGGGGACATGTACCCCACCCGGGGCGTGGGCTATGAGACCATCCTGAAAGAGCAGAAGGGTCAGAGCATGTTCGTGGAGAACAAGGCCTTTTCCATGGATGAGCCGGCGGCAGGTGGGTCTCCAGGGGTGCCCCCCAGGCCCCTTTCTCCATCCCATATCTTTTACTGCAGGACAGGGAGCCAGTCTCTTGAGCAAAAGGGAAGGTTCTTGAGGTTTTCTGCCTAAGTGTCTCTAAATTCCATTTATTTTAAAGATTTTTTTTTTTCATCCAGGCACGGCGGATCATGCCTGTAGTCGCAGCACTTTGGGAGGCCAAGGTGGGTGGATCACTTGAGACCAGGCTGACCAACGTGGTGAAACCCCCGTCTCTACTAAAAATCCAAAAAAAATTAGCTGGGTGTGAGTAGCTGGGCATGGTGCTGCACGCCTGTAGTCCCAGCTACTTGGGAGGCTGAGGCAGGCGAATCACCTGAACCCAGGAGGCAGAGGTTGCAGTGAGCCGTGATTGCACCACTGCACTCCAGCCTGGGTGACAGAAAGACCTTGTCTCAAAACAAAGAAAAAAAAATAGCTGGATATAGCAGTGCATGCCTGTAATCCCAGCTACTCAGGAGACTGAGGCAGGAAAATCACTTGAACCCAGGAGGCAGAGGTTGTAGTGAGCCAAGTTCGAGCCACTACACTCCAGCCTGGGTGACAGAATGAGACTCTTGTCTCAAAAAAAAAAGAAAAAAACAAAGTTTTTTTTCCATGTTTGTATAATTCATGCACATATTCTTACTGTAAAATTTCAAACATTTCAGATAAAATGGAATTTTCCCCAGCTGCCTCCCCAGTCCTACCCATCCCATCCTGTCCCATATGCAGAAGTGACCGATATTGACTGGTATAATATCTATGTGCCTCAGTTTCTCCATTTGTAAAATGGGGATAATAACAGTACCTATTTCATAGGGTTCTTGTGAGGATTAAATTAATTAGTGCCGGCTGGGCGAGTTGGCTCACACCTGTAATTCCAGCACTTTGGGAGGCTGAGCTGGGTGGAGCTTGAGCCCGGGAGTTGAGACCAACCTGGGCAACATAGTGAGACCCCCGTCTCTCCAAATAATTTTTTAAATTAGCCAGGTGTGGTGGTGCACACCTGTGGTCCCAGCTCCATGGGAGGCTGAAGCAGGAGGACTGCCCGAGTCCAGGAGGTCGAGGCTTCAGTGAGCCATGATTATACCACCACATTTCAGCCTGGATTATCTTAAAAATAAATTGCTTAGTGCCCAGCTCATGAAAAGCTCTCTTGAAGCATTAGCTATTTGCTGTATGTGTATGACTATTATTTTACATATTTTACTATCGTTCCAGAACTTGTTTTCTATTATGTATATATCCATAATCACCTTAGTTTTCTTTAAAAGGAAGTATTTTTCAGTTTATTTTTTTCTTTTTTTCAATTTTTTGAGACGGGGTCTTGCTCTGTCACCCAGGCTGGAATGCAGTGGTATGATCTCAGCTCACTGCAACCTCCACCTCCCCAGCTCAAGCGATTCTCCTGCCTCAGCCTCCCCAGTAGTTGGGAATACAGATGCACGTCACCACACCTGGCCCATTTGTGGATTTTTAGTAGAGACAGGGTTTCACTATGTTGGCCAGGCTGGTCTTGAACTCCTGACCTCAAGTGATCCACATGCCTTAGCCTCTCAGAGTGCTGGGATTACAGGCATGAGCCACCACACCCGGGCTTTTTCTCTTTTTAATAAAAACACTTGGGGTGCCGCATCGTGGTCTCAGCAGCACCCCTGTTAGCTGTGCAGCCCACTAGCATTTCCTCAGCACCTGCTCTAGGCCAGCCCCTGTGCTAATTCCCTTCCCGGTATGGCCCGTTGCATGAATCTCACGTGCTCTTCCTCAGCCTGCTGGCTGCAGCCCCTCATCTGACATGACCTGGAAATCTGAGGGCACCATCTCAAAGCCTTGACCCCACCCCCAGACTGTGATGATCTGGAGGCCTGGGGGCTTAAGACTTTCTTAATTGCCGTGTTAATGGGGCTCTGGGGCCTCTGCTTTGGGCCCTCTGCCAGGAGGTCAGAGTCAGGCTGCCGCAGAAGTTCCAGAACCAGAGACATTCCTTTCTTTTCTGCAGACTGTGAAATCCTAATAATCCCCACTTTGGGGAAAGAGATGACCCTTGTCCTGCCAGGCACTTGATCTTTATCTGCCCACCTGGGCGAAGGCGCTGGCCGCACCCTGGGGTGGCCCCTGTCGTACAGAGTGTGCATGGGGGGTGGAATTGGCAAAGCCCACCGGAGAGGCGGGGCTTATGGACAAGTGCTAGGAGGAGCCTCAGGCCCCGCCCCCACACAAGTGCCTGTCAGGGCCAAATGGTTCTGAGCGTTTGGGGCTGAGTTTTTCCTTTTTTTTTTCTAAATGGAAAAATCAATAGAGTGAGCCCAGCACTTAGGAAGCTATATAGGTTGCAGTCCCTCAGAGCTGGGGGACTGTTGGCCCTGCCGGAGCCAGACATCCGCTGTGCTGCCCTCCCAGCCAGGCCAGTCCAAGGTCCCTGGTGGGTCTGCAGCCCTCCTCAAACACCCTGGGAGTGCCCAGCAGGGTGGAACACATCGGGAAACCAACACCGCAAAGGCACAGGGAAGTATCCCTGGAGCTAAAAATAGTTCTGGAGACTTGCCCCGGGGGCCATGGTATGGGACTGCATTAAGGCTTCCTGGCCGGCCTCTGGGTTCGTGTAGTGGGGAAGGGGCGCCCAGGGAGAACATGAAAAGGCTTAGGCCGATGGGTCTCAGATGATGTATTTACCCCTGCGCCTGGCAGCTGGCCCGTGGTGACAGGCAGAGCTGGAGGCTGGCCATCTTGGAAGGCGGCCGAAGGCCCATGTGTCCTCTTGGCCTCTGGCCCCAGAGGGCGGATGGGGATGTGGAGGTTGCTGACAGAGCATTTTCTGAGCTGTTGGGTCCGGGGCTGGGGGTCTACATTGCAGGGAAACCCACAGTGTCGTTTCCTCCCGTGCATCTATACAAAGGGGTGTTGGGCTTGGGAGGGGCCCCGGTGTTCACAACCTCACCCCCAAGTTGGCCACTCCTGGGTTAGAGACTATGCCAGGGTTGGCCTATCCCCTCTTCCCTGACCCCAGAGAGCCTTGCTTGCCTTGCGGGAGGTGGGGAAGAGAGCTGAGAGCTCTGGGATCTTCAACTTGTTCCTTGCAGCTAAGAGGCCAGTGTCACCATACAGCGGGTACAACGGGCAGCTGCTGACCAGTGTGTACCAGCCCACCGAGATGGCCCTGATGCACAAAGGCCCGGTGAGTGGGTCCCCAGGTCCCCATGATGCGGCTGGGCTACAGAGCACAGCCTTAACAGGTCGGCGTGAGAGGGCCGTGTGGCCGGAGCTGGGTTGGGTGGAAGTGGTGGGGGAAAGGCAGGTTTCTCCATCTGGTGCTTCCACCAGCGAATCCAGAGCCCTAGTTCTCGACTTCCTTCTCCTGGAGCCAGTGTGCCCACCACCTTCATTTGCACTGCAGTGGGGCCTGCCCTGTGTCACTGGGGCACCCACTCAGGCTGTGTCTGGGTGCTACAGGGAATGCTGGGTGAGCTCTCCTTGGTGGGAGCTGCCAGCTTTATTCCGGAGAACCTGGGGAGGGACAAAGGAGGGTCTCAGCCAGGTGCTCCCAAAGTGGACACGGGACCAAATGTAGCAGGTCTGGAGAGGTGTTTGTTTACTTCTGAACCACAGCTGTGCCAAGGGGGCCTGCGCCTCCCCTCCCACTCCGGCAGGCAGTGAGTCTCGACCTTACACCTCCCCTGGGTTCTGGAAACCAGATGCTCTGTTAGCAAGGGGGGGAGCAGGAAGACAGTGGGTTGGATTCTACTCACTCCTATATGTGTTCCTCCTCCCAGCTGGCAGAGGCTGTGGGGAGAAGTCAGTGACCCTTCTTGGCAGGACGCTGGGAACAGGAAGCGAGGAGGTCAGCCGGGTGGCGTTCTCATCCCCCTCCCGGCCCTCTCTGTGAGAGCCCCAGGGCAGGGGGAGGCGAGTGTGGCTGAAGCTTCCAATCCCAGCACCTCCCTGCTCCCTGAGCCTGAACCTGAGCCTGGGCAGAGGAGAGTTTCCCAAGGACCAGGAGTGGAAGCTGCGGGCCGCCAGCCCTGGGGGCGTAGGCAGCCACAGAAGTCTTTCCTGAGAGGCTTCCCTCACCGCCATTGCGCCTTGCTCCCCAGCGTGTTTGGAGTCGGATTCCTGGGGGATGATGTGTACTAACAGGGAGATTTTATCTGACTAGTTCTCAAAACATGGTCCCCGGCAGCGATAGTCTCACCTGGGAACCTGCTAAAAGTGCAAATGGGGGCCGGGCGCAGTGGCTCACACCTGTAATCCCAGCACTTTGGGAGGCTGAGGCACGTGGTTCACTGAGGTCAGTTCAAGACCAGCCTGGCCAACATGCCAAAACCTCGTCTCCACTAAAAAAAAAAAAAAAAAAAAAAAAAGGCCAGGTGTGGTGGCACAAGCCTGTAGCCCCAGCTACTAGGAAGGCTGAGGCCAGAGGATGGCTTGAACTCAGGAGGTGGAGGCTGCAGTGAGCCAAGATCTCACCACTGCACTCCAACCTGGACAACAATATTTTTTAATCTCAAAAAATAAATAAAAATAATAAAAGTGTGGGTGGGGGCGGGGCCAGAGCTGGGATGGAGCCAACTGTTAGCATCCCTTCAGGGCATGGCCACCAGGGGGCACTATCCAGAGCAGATCTGTAAGCCCTGCATTCAGCACTCCCTCCCCCAGCCCCAGTTGCTGCCAGCTGCATGAGGCCTACTGGGGAGGGTCCAGCTACGAGTTGGTGAGTCTTAACAGGCAGCGCAGGTGATTCCAATGCACACCCAGGTTCGGGGCCACGTGGACAGGGGGCTATTGCAGACAGGCCTGAGGCCCTCCTGAGTCTGATTGACTTGAAGGCTGGTTCTGGGCCTGGCAGTTACAGAGATTTGGTGGCAGCTCTTTCCCATAGGGCTAAGACACAGGGGCCATAGGGCTAAGACACACCTTCCCTGCAGCATGGGAGCCGGAACAGCTACCTCAGGACCCTCTAAACCCCACAGCCGGTGTCTCTCACCCACAGGGGAGCAAGACCCAGTTCCAGGCAGAGAATTCAGGTTCCAAGACAACAAATACGAGCCAGATGCAGTGGCTCATGCCTTTAATCCCAGTGCTTTGGGAGACTGACATGGGAGAATTGCTTGAGGCTGGGGGTTCGAGACCAGCCCTGGCAATGTAGTGAGACCCCCCCCACCCCACTGCCACCATCTCCACTTAAAAAAAAAAAAGACTCCAAATCAGACTGGCCAGCCTAGATGCCCAGAGAGAGGTGTGGGCGCACCCAGGGCCATGTCCTCGGTCAGGGAAGCCACAGCTGTGATGCAAGGGGGTGGCAGTGACAGTGGTAGACTCGGGGTAAGATTCTTGGAGGGAGGGGGCCTGGGAGCCATACCAGACAGGGAGTAGCAGTTCTGTGTGGCCAACCCTCCACTGGCCCTAAGGTTTCCCTAAAGAATTGGAAGCGGGAGGGGGGCTTGGGAAGAGGACCCTGCTCTGTTAAGTTCCAGCACCATCCAAGGTCACCAGGGGCCCTGTTCCCATGCCCAGAAGCAGGGGAGGTAAGGGGCTCAGATTTGGCTGTCCCAGGCTGCTCCTGGGGCCCAGCCAGAGGGGGCAGAGGAGCCGAGGGGGAAGCTGTGGGGGGGGGGGGGGGGAGCTGGCAGGCCCAGCCCTGCAGGAAGCGAGTATTTGTGCATCCGCCCCGGCGGAACCTGGCTCCTGATCCCCGACCGTGAGACCGCCTGTTCTTCCTTCCAGTCCGAAGGAGCCTACGATGTCATCCTCCCACGGGCTACCGCCAACAGCCAGGTGATGGGCAGTGCCAACTCGACCCTGCGGGCTGAAGACATGTACTCGGCCCAGAGCCAGCAGGCGGCCGCGCCGCTGAAAGATGGCAAGAACTCTCAGGTCTTTAGAAACCCCTACGTGTGGGACTGAGTCAGCGGCGGCCAGGAGAGGCGGGCAGATTTCGGGAGGGCCCTGAGGACCTGGCCCCGGGCAAGGGGCTCTCCAGGCGTCTCCTCCCCCTGGCAGGCTCAGCAGCGTGGGCCTCGGTGCTGGATGGGCCTCCCTTTCTGCCAGTGTTTGGGTGGATGTCCTGGGTGTCCCCACCCACTCCTCAGTGTTTGTGGAGTCGAGGAGCCAAGCCCGGCCTCCTGCCAGAGTCACCTCGGCGGTCTCACTCCAGCCAAATAGTGTTCTCGGGGTGGTGGCCGGGCAGCGCCTATGTTTCTCTGGAGATTCCTGCAACCTCAAGAGACTTTCCAGGCGCTCAGGCCTGGATCTTGCTCCTCTGTGAGGAACAAGAGTGCCTAATAAACATGTTTCTGCTTTATTAACTCTCGCTCTGGGGCTGTGGTTTCTGACCTGCGCTGCTGGCTTCCAATGAACCTCTCCTCCACCGTGGCCTGTGGATGACGAGTCTTTCTCTTCCCTCCAAATCCAGCTCACATTTAAACCTGCTGCAGATTTCTCCTTTTGTGCAATTAAGTAGCTGATGCCTCTCCCCAGCGAACGATTCTTTAGCAGGTCCTCTGTCTGTATTGTGTGCGATCAGATTGAACACCCTGGCTCAGGTCGTGCCTAGGATGCAGTCCCGCACCTGGGCTTGTCTGAGACCAGGCAGCTTTCCTCTGGGACCCCCCTCCAGTGGCTGCAGGGACAGGATTGGGAAGGTGGGCCTTGAGCAGGTGTCTGTGTGTATAAGGGAAGATGAACTAATTTTAGCTTCTCCTGGAATGAATGACAGGGAAGATCCCATAGGGGACCAAGTGGAGACTCTTCTGATCCATGCTTTGAGATCACACCATGTGATACGTGCAAAGGAACGGCCTAGAGAGGGTCAGGAATTGTTTACGAATGGGTTGACAAAGGTGCAAAGGGTTGGGCCAGTTCTGGTTGGTTTCACTCCTGAGTGGTCATTTAAGTGTCCATCTGTGCAGAGCGCAGTGGCTCACGCTTGTAATCCCAGCACTTTGGGAAGCCAAGGTGGGAGGATCGCTTGAGCCTAGGAGTTCCAGACTAGCTTGGGTGACATAGTGAGATGCTGTTTCTACAAAAAAAAAAATTAAAAATTAAAGAATTAGCCAGGCATTAGTCCCAGCTACTCACGGGCCTGAGGTGGGAGGATGTCTGGAACCCAGGAGGTGAGGCTGCAGTGAGCCGTGATTGCACCACTGCACTCCTGCCTGGCCAACAGCAAGACTCGGTCTCAAAAAAAAGAAAGCCAGTTTGCTCGGTACTTTACGGTAAGCAAAGCCTTTCCTCATCAGCTCATTTGTTTTTTAATTTAATTTTTTTTTTTTTTTTTTGAGACAGAGTCTTGCTCTGTTGCCTAGGCTGGAGTGCAGTGGCACAATCTCAGCTTACTGCAGCCTCTGCCTCCCAGGTGCAAGCGATCCTCCTGGCTCAGCCTCCCGAGTAGCTGAGATTACAGACATGTGCCACCACACCCGGCTAACTTTTCTGTATGTAGTAGAGACAAAGTTTCACTGTGTTGCCCAGGCTGGTTGCAAACTCCTGGCCTCAAGTGATCTGCCCACCTCGGCTTCCTGAAGTGCTAGGGTTACAGGCATGAGCCACCACGCCGGCCCACTAGCTCATTTTATTCCCCGAGGCTGCCCTGGGAGGTGGGCAGGACTAGTATTCTCTCCCTTTTCCAGACTCAAAGTCCCAGAACTATACGATTTTGGGGTAGGGCAGGGTCTCAGTGGTTATACCGCGCCCTTTTACAGGTAAGCGAACTGACCCAGAGAGGTCTGGGTGGACAGGCTAAGACTCTGACGCCCAGCAGCCTTTCTCCGTGGTCCACGCTGGGCGAGCCAGTCCAGTGGACGGCACTTCCAGCCATGTGGATGAGACAGCAGGTTCCTGACCTTTGGTCACTGGCTCAAGGCTTTGTCAGGAGGCTGCCAGGCCTGTCCCGGGGAGCCCACTCCTCCCAGGCTTGGGAATGTTTCTCCCCAACTAGTCAGAAGCTATTTTCCTAATACCAGTTGTAGGGAAGAAATGTTTTTGTTGAAAGGGAGAGAAAGGATGCTGGGAAAAAAAAATAAACTTCTCCCAAACTTCTCCTTCTATGTTCAGATTGCATTGGCCTCCTGGGGACTGAAACACTATTTTTAGGTAAAAACCAGTGCTTGGGCCCCGCGCAGTAGAGTCCCTGTTGACTCTTGTTCTTTCTGGTTACTTTAGGCTCAGTCCCCGCAAAGTAAAACGAGATGGTAGAAGCCCTCTTCCCTGGATCGCACGGCATCCTGATGTCCTCATTCCTCTGTACCCGGGATGGGCCCAGCACCTTTCCCGTCCTTGTCATTGGAGCTGGGAGGGACCAGAGGCCACCGACCTGGAGCAGTGGACTGAGTGGGCCCCTGTGAAGCCCTGAGTATGTGACTGGAGTGCCTAGGGCCCCTCCCTTTCCTGCCCAGCCCATCTTCCTGGTCCCCAACTGGCTGCGGCTGCAGGGAGCTGTCCCCCAGGCCGCCTCCATCTCCCCTCTTGACGCCCTCCCCAAATCATAGCCCCTGTGTCCCTGAGCTGTGGTTCTCCAGATGGCCATCCTCCCCATTGTGAAAGGCAGTCCTCAGTGCCCCATCTTGACTCTGGACCTTCCTGGCCCCGCCATCTTGGTTTCTGGCATTAGTTTGTCCTCTGCCTAGATGGATCTCCTCCATGAGTCTTTGGCAACAAGCCGGGGCAGAAGTTGGCCCCTGCCCTTCTCACCAGGGCCTCCTGCCACCACCTGGACTGTGGAAGGCCACTGAGATGGGGGCGGAGCTCAGCCCAAGGCCTGGGCACACTGCTGCTCTCCACAGCCTGTAGGTCCCGGATGTGAGCCCCTGGGGTGTTTCACTCGAGAGCCCCTTAGCCATCCACTTCTTCTATCGCCAGCAAGCCAGGCCAGCCCTGCCTGCACTCTGCCCCCACTGCCCCTTGCCCTCTGGGACGAGGATGGCCACGCTGGGAAGAGGCAGCTCTCTCCATCCAGCACTACCTCATGGAGAGCTCACTAAGGATTTGGGAATGGCAGGCCACTCTGGCAACCGGGGTTCAAGGTGGCTCCTGTGGCAGGAACAGGTGTCAATGGGCCTGATTCCCGGGATCTCACGGGTTCTGGGAATGCAGCAGGGGCCTCCCGTGGCTATTCCAACATCTCTGGTCAGGGCCTAGAAGCACCCTTAGGACATGCGGGGTCGGGTTCAGGGCTGCCTTCTCAGGGACCAGTGGAGAGCCCTGGACCAGATGAACTGGAGTCTAGGCCTCTCCTGTGACTGGGACTTGGATGTGGGGAGGCCCGTGAGATCCAGGTCTAAAGATTCTATTTCCTGATGGGCAGATATGTGAGTGGCATCCTCAGGTAAGTGGGACCCGGGACTAAAGACTGTGCTCTTTCCTGATGGGCGGAGGCTTTAAGTTTCTACCTCACCTTGGGCAGCACCTGGGTGTGCCGGTGCTGGTTCATTCCTGGAGGAGCCTCTTGTGTTCCGGGCCCCTGGACATGCTCCAAAGGATCCTGATGGTCACCCAGGGAAGAGGGGGCCTTCTCAGGGCCTCCATGGTGCTGGCACCAAGGACAGAGATGGGCACAGCTCCAGGCTGGTGAAAATGGGCTCTCTTTAGCATCGTCTCCTGGGGCTTTTCCTGCCCCTGGTACCAGACAGAGCTGACTTATCCAAGGTGGGCCCTGGAGCTGAGTCCTCAGCCCAGCAGCACCTCTGGGTGCCGGGGTGGAGGGTGGCGACCTAGCAGCACCTCCTCAGGGGAGGTGCCCTGTAGCCAGTCCCACCACTCTCCAGTGCTACCCCCGTCCCCAGCAGCCTGTGCCTTTGTCACTGGCATATTTTTCCAGAGCTAAATTGGGCACGTGGGACTGCAGCCCTGCCTGCGACCCCCGAACTCTGTTGCTGGCTTGCTGAAGTCCATGAACAGAGTGTCATTTCCCTCCGGCGGAAGGGAGCGGGAAGTTCCGCGGCCTCACGCTGCTCTTGGTCTAGCTTAGCAGCCCTAAGATCCCTTAGTGAATCAAGGCACTTTCCTAGCTGATAGTTTCTTTCTTTTTCTTTTTCTCTTTTTGAGACGGAGTTTCGCTCTTGTCGCCCAGGCTGGAATGCAGTGGCGCAATCTCGGCTTACTGCAACCTCCACCTCCCGGCTCCAAGCAATTCTCCTGCCTCAGCCTCCGGAGTAGCTGGGATTACGGGCACCTGCCACCACGCCCAGCTAATTTTTTACTTTTGGTAGAGACAGGATTTCTCCATGTTGGTCAGGCTGGTCTCCAACTGTGACCTCACGTGATCCGCCCACCTCGGCCTCTCAAAGTGCTGGGATTACAGGCGTGAGCCACCGTGCCCGGCCTCTAGGTGATAATTTCAAAGGAGTCCCTGGCAGTGCCGGATGCCCAGGGCTGCAGTCTGCAGTGGACGTGGGTTTGTGTATAGCCCGAGTCCTCTGGGGGTCTGCGCGCGAGGCTCAGGGAGGGATGGGTTCCTGAAAGCTACAGGCTGCCGGTGTTCACGAGTACCCTCCCACTGGCCCTGCTTACTCCGGCCTGGGCCAAGTGGCAAAGATGGATGAGTTCTTAGGAGGAGAGAGGCAGCTTCTTGGGGTGATCAAGCAGCATCACAAGCCTTGAATGGAGGAAAACTAGAAGAGGTAGAGCCTGTAGATTCACCATCATCCAGCCGACACCGTGGGAAACCTCACACCCACCACTGTCACCCCACGCGGCTTAATGCCGAGGACTTTGGACTTCATAACTGCTCGGAATTAAATGACCTTACCTCCGTGGGTGAGGGCTTACTGCCACTGAATTCCTGTGTGTTCATAAATTCTTCTGGGATTTACTAGTTTTGTCTTGTTTTCTTAAATTATTTTTAGAGACAGGGTCTTGCTATGCTGCCCAGGCTGGTCTCGAACTTCTGGCCTCAAGTGATTTTCCCATCTCAGCCTTCCAAGTAGCTGAGTGCCTGCTTCTAAGTGCCTGCTCCCCAACCCCATCCCCACCCTGCCTCTGAGATTTCTTCACATGTATTTCCCCCATATACCTCTTGCTTTTTACACCAACAAAAGCTGTTTGATTCCAACTAACCTTTTTCTTTGTTGGGGATTTATTTTAAGGGGAAAATCAGGCCTCCAAAAACCACTGAGCTCTCAACCAGCCAAGGCCAGAGAACTCTGCCGCCTACATAAGATGTGGGTGCCGGGGAGGCAACCCCAATGGTAACCCTGTTGTTGCCTGTCATGGCTGGGAGAAGCAGCCAGGACAACCCATTGGGTGAAATTCTCCGTACACAGAAAGGCATGCCAAAGGCCAGGTGTGGTGGTTCACGCCTGTAATCCTAGCACTTTCAGAGGCCAAGGTGGGTAGATCACGAGGTCAGGAGTTTGAGACCAGCCTGGCCAATATGGCAAAACCTAAAAATCAGCCAGGCCTGGAAGCGCACGCCTGTAATCCCAGCTACTCGGGAGACTGAGGCAGGAGCGTTGCTTGAACCTGGGAGGCGGAGGTTGCAGTGAGCCGAGATCGTGCCGCTGCATTCCAGCCTGGGTGGCAGAGACTCCCTCTCAAAAAAAAAAAAAAAAAAGGCATACCAGAAGCAGGGATGGCTGATAAATCCCCCAGGCCATGAAGACCTGCCGAGCGCCATGCCTGGCTTTCCAGTTTACTCCTGTCTCTGCTCTTGTTCTTCAGCCATCCACAGCTCATAGAAGACAGCAGGCAACGGAGGCTAAGTGCCTGCCTTGGGGGCGGGGAGGGGGGTGCTGCCCGGAAGGGTCTGTTGGCCCTCCAAGCCATTCTCGCCAAGGCCAGCACTTTCACTAGCCCCAGAGGACATGCCAAGGTCAGGCCCAGGTGCCAGGGACCCGCATTTGTTTCCTGTCTGCTGTCTCCACTCTGGGGCCTCCAGGAAGCTGCAGCCCCTGTTCACAGCAGCTGCATGAATTATTTAGCATCTGCACCAGACTGGGAGTGCTCTGACCTCATCCTCCTTGGGCCCGGGGTGCGGCTCTGACCTCATCCTCCTTGAGAAAGGTTGCTGATCAGCAGAGGCTGGAGCAGCAGGTCCCTCTGGGGTGCGGGTGATTAAAAGAATCAATTCACCAGTGCCCTTGGAGAAGAGGGTAGGGAGCAGGGACCCATGCCCTCGTAGCAGGAGGCCACTCTGCAGCATGGAGACAATATGACTCCGGAATCAGAGGCTGCGGGGTCAGGTCCTGGCTGTTAGTAGCTCTGCGACCTTCAGCAGCTCCCTTGGTCCTTCCTCAGTCTTCTCATCTGAAAAGTGGGGGTACCAGCCCCCTGAGTTTGTGATTGGCATTCTGTGCCCTCGGGGTCACCCCCTAAAAGTCATAGCCAAGGCAGAGCTTCCAGGCACCATCTGCCTCGTGTTTCCTTCACAGACAAGCAGATCTCCCGGCCAGATTTCAGTTTGGCACCGCCTGGTGCCACATCCTCCCTTTCCTCTGCTGTGCCTCATGCCCTGGGTCCCCAGAGTGGGTGGCTTGGCAGGTTGCCACGGCTGGAAGAGGATGCTAAGGCAGTGCCCATGCCTGATTGGCAGGGAAGAAGGGCTAACAGGCGTTAGGAGGGTCACCAGGTGCTCGGGAAGTCTAAGAAGCTAGGCTGAAGAGCTGGGATGGAACTGCTTTCTGCCAGCAAATGTCCACTGAGTGTATACTGGGTGGAGGGGAGTGGGTGGAGAAGAGAGCGATCTGATCCCTGCCCTGCTTTGCCAGGTCAGGCCTGAGGGCTGAAGTGGGAGTGGCCATGGTGAGTCCCAGGAAATGCGTTTTGGGATTAAGCAGGCAGGTGCCTTCAGCAAGCTTCCACCATCCCCTTCCCAAGCGGCACTTTGGAGTTGGGCGGGGCGTCTCGGGCCAGGGCCAGGCTCCAGCTAGCTCTGTGGCCTTGGACAGCTCCCTTGACTCCCCAGGGTTTCCCCATCTGTAAAATGCACCCCATGTCTCCAGCTCTATCTAAGCCCTGGAGGTGGGGTTCCCAGCAGTGGAGAGAGGACGTAAAGCCCCAGGGCTGTGCCGCAGATGCACACCAGGGATTACGACTCAAGGTCTGGAGCAGAACTGGGAGGACATAGGCCCACCGCCTGGCTGTGCTTTGGAGAGAGAAGCTGGGTCCCGGGCGGTGAATGGGGCCAGTCCCAGCCCGCTGTCTGCCCTATCCCCACACCCCTCGTCCCCCCTAAATTCCTCTAAGCCAGGGACCCGGAGGTGGCTCTTTCTTCTGATTCGCCCAAAGGCGACGGTGGCTCGCCTCCCACCCCCCCACACCAACTCCACCGACGGCAAGAGAGGGTCCGCGGAGAAAGTTTTACGCTGCGTCCTTAACCCAGCGTCCGGGTTGGGAGGGGGCGCGGGGCCCTGGAACCCCAACCGCAGACAGCCCACTCCCCCGCACACACCTGGGTAGGGGGAGGTGGGGTGGGCCTGAGCAGCCGGTGCGCCCACGTGCCTCTCCCGCTAGGGCCCGGCCACCCCAGCGCCAGCCAACCCGAGGCCGCCTCCTGCGCCCCACCCCAAACCCCGCCCCTGCCCCTGCAACCCGATCCCCGCCGCGGGGCGCCGGCCCGAGCCATCTGTCCCAGCTCCTGCCGCAGCCTGGGGGCCCGGCCGCCGCGCTCCGCTCCTCCCCGCCCTCGGCGCCGCGCCTCGTAGCCGCCGGGTTTTGCGGGGGTCGCATTCATCCCCGCGTCTCCCAGGCCAGCGCAGAAACGGGGGTGGGGTGGGTGACGCCAGAGAAGCAGGCCCTGGCCCCTTTTCCCAAGGGAAGAAGCCCCTCCTGGAGGCCCGCCGGGTCCTGGCGTCTCCGCGGGTGGGCGTAGTGGGGGCGGGAGCACGGGGAGCCCTGCGGCTGCCTTCGGTCTGGCTCTAGGCCAGGGTTCCTCGGCTCCGCCAGGAACATTTGGGCCGGATCGCTGTGTAGTGGGGCTGGCCCCAGCACTGCGGGATATCCGGTGGCATCCCTGACCCCCTCCACTGGATGTCAGGGGGCACGGCCAGCCCCCAAGCCGTGGCAACCGAAACTGTTTCTGGACACTGCCAAATGTCCAGAGGGGGCAAACTGTCCGGGTGGAGACCCACTCCCCTAGGGTTTCACGATGTGCATTTGAGGCAGCCACACAGGCTGGGGGCCTGGAACGCGAGGTCCCTGCATCCCAGGATTCTGGTGCTGGTCTCCCTGCTCCCCGCAGCTGCCAGCTGCTTCAGGCGGGCCTGGGAACTGTGACCCTTGGCCTGACAGTATTTGGGCAGCGTGTTACCTGCCAGGCCCTCTCACTGCAGGGACACCTTCTGCCCCACCCTGATGTGGGTGCTGGGACGGGGGATGGGACAGGGGATGCTGGAGGCAAGCCGGTCACTAGCAGTCAGGCGGGTTGGGG